TATTTGTTGATGGAACCTATCCTGAGTTAGATGAGAATCATGCTGATTATGCGTCTTGGTCACGTTGCAACAACATTGTTTGCACTTGGATTGTTAATGCTGTTGAGAAGAAGATTGCCAAAAGTATCATGTATTTGGATACGGCTCGCCAGATGTGGTTAGACATTCATGACCAGTTCAAACAAAGCGATGGACCAAGGACTGCAGAGATCAAGCAACAGATTTTTGCTGAAACACAAGGATCTCAGAGTGTGAGTGATTACTATACGAAATTGAAGCAGTTGTGGGAAGAGTTGAAGAATCATGAGAGCCCTTATATCTGTTGTTGTGGTCGTAATGACTGTGCTAGTCTCAAGAGGATTGTTGATAGAGAGGAGCAAGATCACATTTTGAAGTTTCTTACTGGCCTCAATGATACGTTTACTGCAACTAGAGGTCAGATCCTGATGCTGGAGCCGAGGCCAAACATTTCGAAGGTGTTTAATCTAGTCTCTCAAGAAGAACGACAGAGGTCGATGAAGAGTACTAGTGAAGTGGCTTGTAATGTCTCTAGGAGTAATGCTGAAGACTCCTTAGTGGCAGCTTATACAGGAGGGTATAACAAGCACAAGCCACGTCCTATCTGTTCTCACTGTGGACTTGCAGGACATACGGTTAACCGCTGTTACAAGCTCCATGGTTATCCACAGGGCTACAAACCATCTTCTACTAGGCCTCAGAATCAAGTCCAAAATTCAGGTCAACCGAAAGCTTCCCAGACTTTGCCTCCTCACAAAGACAATGTTGCCAATATGGTTATTCAGGATTCGGGTGGTATCTCTCTACACAGTCAACAGGGTGTTCACTTGGGTACTGTCACACAAGAACAAGTCCATCAGCTTCTCAATGTCTTGAGTACTCGCCATACTCCTTCTATAGACAACGTTTCTCAGATTTCTGGAAGTCACATTCAACTCTCAGATGGAACAGTTTCTACTTCCAAACCTCAACCTCACCTGCTTACTCACATGTCTTCTGAAATGCCTCCTTCAGGTAACACGACTAACTTTCATTTTATTTCTGCGGGAATGAAGAACGGCCTTACTATTCTTGCTCCAACTTGGGTTATTGATACTGGTGCTAGTTGCCATGTGTGTTCTGACTTGACAATGTTTTCTGTGACTAACTCAATTAGTAACACAACTGTAACACTTCCTGATGGCACTCGTATATCTGTTAATCTTTCTGGTACTATCAAACTTACTTCACGACTAACATTGGTTAATGTCATGTATATACCTCATTTCAAATTCAATCTTCTTAGCATTAGTGCTCTCACTAGGAATAGTACCATGACTGTTCTGTTCTCTGCATATGATTGTTACATTTTTCCTGATAATCCGTTTCTTAAACTTCAGGAGCATATTCAGGATTACATGATTGGGAAGGGTAACCTCCACAACAATCTCTATGTCCTGGATACTCCACTTTCATCCGAAAATGCATCTTCTCTTAACATCCTAGATTCACATACTACCTTGTCTCAACATCACACGCTTGATCATCACGTTTCATTGGTTGATTCTGAAGTTTGGCACCAACGATTAGGACATCCATCTCACCAAAAGATTCAAGTGCTTTCAAAGTTTTTAAAGTTTTCTTCTGCTAAAACTGATCATTCTAGCTTGTGTAAAATTTGCCCTTTGGCTAAACAAAAACGAGTTGTATTTCCTTCTAATCCTCATATGTCGAATAAACCTTTTGACTTGATCCACATTGATGTTTGGGGTCCTTTCCAGACTCCAACACATGATGGATACAAGTACTTTTTTACTCTAGTGGATGATTGTTCTCGTGTGACATGGATTTACTTGTTAAAAGATAAAAGTTCTGTTTCTGTTGTTTTTCCTGAATTTCTCCAATATGTTAAAACTCAATACAACTCTAACATCAAAGCAATAAGATCTGACAATGCACCTGAACTTGCGTTTCATTCTCTTCTTAAAACTCATGGTATAGTTCATTTTTACTCATGCCCGTATACACCTCAACAGAACTCAGTAGTTGAACGCAAACACCAACACATTCTTAATGTTGCTCGAGCTCTTTTGTTTCAGTCTAATGTTCCTTTACCTTATTGGGGAGAATGTATTCAGACTGCAGTTTATCTCATTAACCGTACTCCTTCACCTCTTCTTGACAACAAATCTCCTTTTGAAGTTCTGACAAATCAAAAACCTTCTTATGAGCATTTACGTGTCTTTGGTAGTTTGTGCTTTGCATCAACTTTGATAAAAGATCGAGATAAATTTAGTCCACGTGCTATACCTTGTGTGTTTCTTGGCTATCCTAATGGTATTAAAGGATACAAACTTTTACATCTTGACTCTCATAATATCTCTGTTTCTCGGAATGTAGTGTTTCATGAGTCTAACTTTCCTTTCTCTAAACAGAAATCTCCTCCCGGTTTGTCAACTTTCTTTGATCAGGATGTGCTTCCTATGCCTGTTCCTGATTCTCCTTTTCCTGCTTTCTTTGATCTTGGCAATGACATTTCTGATCCTACTCTTTTCAATAGTACCTCTGATAATACAGTTCCTACTTCTTCTTCTTCGAATCATTCTGTATCTCCTCAGTTGCTCTCTGAGAATTCTAATCCTCCTAACCATTCTCATCAAACTCGTTCTAAACGTCAAATACGAACGCCAGCTTATCTTGATCAATATCACTGTTTTTTACTTGGTCAACAACCTACTTTTTCAACTCATCCAACTCATACAACACCTTATCCAATCTCTTCATATCTTTCTTATGATAAGTTTGACAGTGCTCATCGTTATTTCCTTCTCAATATCACTACCTCTAAACTTCCTAAAACCTATAAAGAGGCTGTTCAATCTGAGTCTTTTAGAAATTCCATGAAATCTGAAATGACTTCTCTTGAAGAAAGTGGTACTTGGTCTGTGTGTCAACTACCTAATGGCAAACAACCGGTTGGCTGCAAATGGATTCATACCATTAAGTATAATCCTGATGGCACTATTGAACGACATAAGTCTCGTGTGGTGGCAAAAGGCTACACGCAATTGGAAGGCCTGGATTATTTGGATACGTTTTCACCAGTAGCAAAGATTGGTACTCTACGCCTTCTTTTGGCCATGGCAGCTGCTAAGAATTGGACTATTACTCAGTTAGATGTGAGTAATGCGTTCTTGAATGGAGACTTGGATGAAGAGATATATATGCAGCTTCCACAAGGTTATACAGAGATAACTGGAAAGCAAGTACCTCCTAATTCGGTTTGCAGGCTCCATAAGTCTCTTTATGGTCTGAAACAGGCATCAAGACAATGGAACTACAAACTTTCTGAAGTCATACTTGGTGCTGGTTTTAAGCAGACACATTCCGATCATTCTCTCTTTATCAGATACGTTAACAAGATATATATTGCAGTACTTGTTTACGTTGATGATATATTGATCGTGGGTAATGATGATTCTGCGGTTGACGAGTTCAAAGGAGTTCTGAAATCTGCGTTTAAGCTTCGTGATCTTGGCTCAGCAAAGTACTTCTTGGGCTTCGAGATAGCACGGAATCAGTCAGGTATCTCCATTAACCAACGCAAGTATACTCTGGAACTCCTGGAAGAGGCTGGTCTTTTAGGTTGCAAACCTGTTTCCGTTCCTATGGATCCAACACTGAAACTGTCTCTGCAATCTGGTACTCTCTTGACGGATGCTGCAGTCTATAGAAGACTTGTTGGTAGACTGTTATATCTTACACACACAAGACCGGATATCACATATGCGGTGCATAAGCTCAGCCAGTTCATGTCTGCTCCAACGGATTTGCATTTACAGGCAGCTAACAGAGTGTTACGCTATCTAAAGAATGATCCATGTCAAGGTCTGTTCTATTCAGCTTCTTCTCATTTACGTCTCACAGCATACTCTGATGCAGATTGGGCGGCGTGTCCTGATACACGTCAATCTATCACGGGGTATTGTGTGTTTCTTGGTGATTCGTTGATATCTTGGCGTTCAAAGAAGCAGCAGACGGTTTCTAGGAGCAGCTCTGAAGCTGAATACAGGGCAATGGCTGATGCTACTTGTGAGTTAATCTGGCTCACTACATTGTTGACTGAAATGCATTGCTCTCCTGTGACTCCTGCCACTTTGTTCTGCGATAATCAATCTGCTCTCTACATTGCTTCCAATCCAGTCTATCATGAGAGGACGAAGCATGTTGAGATAGATTGTCATGTGGTAAGAGAACGCTTGCAGAGTGGTTTTCTGAAAACACTCCATGTTCGGTCTGAGCTTCAGTTAGCTGATCTACTGACCAAGGCCGTTCAACCAGGGCTGTTCAAGGATCTACTTTCCAAGCTTGGAACTCACAGTTTGTGCCTTCCAACTTGAGGGGAGGGTATTAGATTATTAGAATCATGTGGTTTAGTGAAATCATGTGGTTTAGTGACTGGTTTAGCTTCCCTTTACTAAACCGGTTATGTATATATACAGAAGTTTGTACACTGTAAACGATGACTTGAGTAAATACATTTTACATTTTCCATCCGTAACTAACTTTCCCTTTGCTCTCTTCACCAAAAGCTCAAGTTCTAATAGTCTCCAGTATTTTCCCCTCTCCTCAATCGCCAGAACTCGTGAAATGAAAGTCTCAAACTTTCTCTCGGAGATGGGGAAGCTCCGGCGGCGCCGTGCCGGATGAGATCGAAGACGGCATGGTTTGTACCCTTTCATTCCACCATGATACGATACTTTATAACAAATTCAATTGATTTGTTTTTGTTAAATTTGATGATTTCTTGTTGATAATTTATAAAGCTCCCACCTTTCCCCTTTTTATGCATTATGACCTAGATTTTGCTTGCAGATTTGAAACTGTAACGGTCTGAAATCTTGTTAGTTTAGTTAATGTCTGAGATATTACTTATTAGTTTACTTATGCATATGTGTTAGTGTAGAATCAGATCATGTACCCCTTCAAACTAGCGGGATTTCATGTGGAAGCAGATGAACTTGAGTCTATGGGGGAAGTTGATGGAAACTTTGAGTGAAGGTGGAGAGGATGAGACTCCTCTTCAGGTGAAGCTAAACGGAGTTGCTACGATCATAGGTAAGATTGGTTTAGGCTTTGCGGTGGTGGCGTTTGTGGTGTTGTGCATAAGGTTCGTTATAGGGAAAGCTACTGCTGGTAATATCCCTGAATGGTCTTCTTGATTACTTTACTATTGCTGTAACCATCATAGTCGTTGCTGTACCTGAAGGTTTACCTTGGCTGTGACGTTAAGTTTGGCATTTGCTATGCTCTCGTTTGGCTGGTCTCACCACCTAACATTAATGTGTTGTTGAATTTGGCAGAGGGACATATCGTTTGGCTAAGGAAGCTATTTGATGATCCCAAGATTGGTAAATTATCTCAGAAACTTCACTGTTGAGTTTTGTTTTGATGGATACTTTCTCAGACAAGTGTGTGTGTGTGTGTTTGGTTGTGATTATCAGGCTGTATTGCTTACAATCTAGGGAATGGAAGAGGAATGTTTGTGTTAGAGATAGGTTACTGCTTTTGAGAAAGCTTCTGGCAAGGTAACAAACACAACACAGAGCTGAGTGAAATCTCTGGAATGTTTTTGTTATAGACATGTTTGAAACAAAAAAGTTCTACCATTAAACCATTGTAATGTTATGTTAAAAATCTACCATTAATATTTTTTTTTTGTTAAGAACTTAATTGAGATACTACCATTAAACCATTATAATTATGTGTCTCTTAACAAAGTCTCTTTTCTTAATTTTAATAGTTAAAAATTCATTATGGCCCACTTAAGAGACACTTAAGGGTTTTATCAATAAACATGCTCTTAGTTACTTACTTTTAGCTCTTAATTTCTTATATAATAAGATAAGGTTCTAATAAACACTACATTTGACTTCCGGGTAACCAAGTTAATATAAAGGCTTTCATAAAAAAAAAAAAAAAACAAATTAGTATAAAGGAAAGAATATCTCCTCTTCATCAATAGCACTTCTCACTTTTTGTTTATCTTACAGAGAGATCTTGTCTGACGTACCTGCTTCTTAAGCTAGGCTCTAAGACTTTGGTACGTAAAATTTACTAGGTTCGATCTCTTTATCTGTTAGGATTGGATTTGATACGATGTTTTTATTGTTTAATGGTAAATTTTGTCGTTGTTGTAAACTCAGGTAAATTTTTGCTTCAACAGCTATGACAGAATCTGCAACGAAAAACATGACATCATCGTCATCATCCGTGACGTCAGACTGGTCTCTTTTACCAGAGGAGCTACTACAAATAATATCCGAGAAAGTGGAGGACTGTTTCGATATTATTCATGCTCGCTCTGTTTGCAGCTCGTGGCGATCCACTTTCCCCGTTCCTTGCATCTTAAGCCGCGAACGTTACTCTCTTCCTTCCTTCGCCAACTTCCCTAACGAAAGCAAAGACTTATGCACCTTTGAGAAGATCCCTTTGTTCCTCTTTACAGTCCAAACTCCTCCCCCTGCGTCGGCTTCTGATTATTTTCTCGGAGGGATAGGCCTAGATGAGGATCAGACACAGCTCTCATCTCCTATTCAATGTTCGTTAAAAGTGAAGATCCCAGGGTCTGATCCAACTTTGGTGAACCTGCGTGACTGCCAGATTCTCCCTCTTGGCCATCAGTACAGAATGATCGGTTGCGATTCTAGATACTGCAGAGGCCTAGCTTTTCTTCCGCTAAACAAGGAGGGAAGAGAAGAATTCATTGTGCTTCTCGGCTTCAGTAGATTTTTGTTGCTGTTAAGAAGTTCTGAAATGAAGTGGAAGCCGGCTCTGGACCTCGAAAGAGTCGAAATTCATATAGTATGTCACGATATAGTAACTTTCAAACGCAGGTTTTATGCAACTGGTCGTTATAAGACTACGATTTCGTCTCTGGTCCTAACTTTGAGAATCGATCCTTTCTCGTTTCAAGTGAATAGCATACTGCCCGCGAAATCTTGCTCACTAAAATATCTGGTGACATGTGGCAATGATGAAGAACTTTTCCTGGTTGAGAAAGAAAACTATTGTTCTGATGAATTAAAATTGACTCAGTTCTCATGCAGAGTGAGTAGGCTACAGGAGGAGCCTGATCATTGGGTCAAGGTCAGTGACTTAGGAGACCGTGTGTTGTTTATTGGACGCTTTGGAAATGTCTCATGCTCGGCTAAGGATTTTCCTGATGGTTGTGGTGTGAGTGGGAACACAGTTCTGTTCACAAATGAGCTAGACAATGGAACATACGCCTATAAATATGGAGTGGATGATACAAGAAGAGACGAACTTGGTGGTCGCAATGGTTGGAGGTTCTCAGGAGAGAATCGTGTGACTATCCGCAGTACATCTCCCGTGGTGGCTTTCCGTGTTGAACACTAAGAGCATGTTCATTAGGAAAACTCTAAAGAGTTGCTTAAATGGCCATTATGATTATTTAACTATTATCATTAAGCTAAGGGACTTTATATAAATGTTATCGGACTTGGTCATCTGTTGGTGTTGCTTTTATCTGTTGGACACAATGTTTTTATTGCTTTATAAAAAAACAATGTTTTATTTGGACTAATCATATGTTGGTTTTGTTTTTATTAGTTAAAAGTAACTTATTTTCCATGATTCTTGTTTTGGTATATTTTAGTTTCTAAAGATTAGAGTAGGAAATTTGAGTCTAAAATTGCTAACCCGCCCCGTTTGACATTTCGTGGAACGGAGGCAAGTTGAGCGATTTAAAAAAAATTATAAGACGGATATGGATGTCGATTAAGTTAATTTTTGCGGGCGATTCTTAATCAGTCCAATTTGATGTGTCAACCTGCAATTTTTTTTCTAAAAATATTTTCATCAATATATATATATATATATACACAATATGCATATTATTTTAGAAATTAAATAATTTTTAAAAAAAATTAGCCATGAATCATACGAAATACCTTCAAATTTGATGAGAGAGTATGAGTCAGCTATTTTTCTTGACAAGGCCAGTTTACATTTTAAGTCAAAAGAAGGATTGATCCGCAACAGCGGATCAAGAAGATAGATTTAACTCGTTACCCAAAAAGATGACCATGTTATTGAAAATGGGATTTTCAAAACAAACTATCTCAAAAAAAAAATTTATAATTTATTAAAAAGATCTCAAATTATGAGATAATTCTCTCAAAGTGTATCCAGATATATATACAATCATACATTTTAATAAAAACTCTATAATAAATGTAAATACACTCTGAAAATATGAATCTTTAAGTAGGGAGAATCATAGGAGGGATGCAAAGTCGTAACTATAACTCTTTTCTGTGGTTGATATCTTATTTTACCGCTCTCGAAATAGGGATTCAAATTCTGTATTTGGTGGTTTTTATGTTTGGTTCAATTCAAATTTATTTGGATTTCCTTTTTTGCTTAATATTTAAATCGCATTTGGATATTTATGAAAATTTGATATAGGTCAGATCAAATTTTATGGGTTGGGTTTGAGTACATATTTAAGTTAAGTACAACTAGATTTTGATCCGTTTTTTCAAAGTGCATGACTATTTTGATGATAAAATTATTAATTCGTTCAATTCATAATAGAAATAAATATTTATTTAATCAATCTGTTTCTACTTGATAAAACCCAATTTTGTATATACGATGAAAACCCAGAAATTGATAATTATAAAATGTCTACTCATTAATCGTATGTTGGTTTAGAAAAGTTTACTTTATGTTAATTTTTTAAATATTAATTTTAAATAAATAGAATTTATTAAAATATATAATTTTGTAAGAACATGTACTAGGATATTTATGTAATATCAGTTCATAAAAGAACTACATTTGATTTTAAAACATATCAGATTAAATGTATTCTAGTATAATAATTTTATTTTACATTTCATAATATTATTTTTTGATCTGTATAAGCAAATGAAACTCTATAGCAAACAACCCATTAAAAGAAGTTTAACTTATTTATGTATATATAATAAACGAATTTGACTCAAATATATAGACAGAGATTTTTTGTTGCTAGTTGGGTATTCTTTAAATAGGTTTAGTTTAAAAAATCCATCATATCGATTTTTTTTGCTAGATGGTTTTAATTAATAATGGTTCACTAAAATTAAGGAGTGGCAATATCATGTAAATAACTTAAAACTAAGGAAATAATTCTGATAAAGATTCTGCGTTAATAGTATAGATGATCCAAATTCATGAATAGCTTAGAATTTTTAAAATTCAAAAAAAAAAATACAATATATAAATTTAAGAGAAATTCTCCTAGATATTCTTTTTAGTTTATTTTCACAAAAAATAGACATCAAAAAGGAAAATTAACAAAATAAATTTAGTAAAGGGTACATCTACTCTATTAAAATAGAGTTATTCTTTTTATCTACTAATACAAGTTTTCATTTAAATTTGGACCATTTCTAGAATGTTACAAATAATATAAATCATATAATTAATTGAACCGCATTACTTAAATTGAACCGGTGGTTATTTATGTAATATAATTTTGGGCTTTCTTTTGTTTTAAAACAAATTATATGGTTTTCTTTTTAGGCTTAGTATTAAGGAAAAACTCCAAAAAACATTGAATAAACTTTCCATCTTACTAGATAAAAAATCAATTATTATTTTCAAGCCCAAAATTTAATATTTTTAACAAAACAAAATTGTCTATTATTAATCATTTATTTAAATCATATATTTTAAAACAGGTTAATGTATTTTTTATTTTAAATAACAACTATTTTTTTTGATAAATTTCAATGGTAACTTTTAAATAATTTATTATTTTATTTTTCTTAAATAATTTACAGATTTAAAAACAAATATGTAAAGCAAAACCAAAAACCAAATCTAAAAACTAAAATCCAAAACCAAAAGCTGAAAACGCAGGTTAAACTTTTTTGCTTTTGTTTATTTACAAAATAAACTATTGCAAATTTTTTTTTAACAAAAGTTGTCATATTTTCAGTTTAAATTAGATGTTTGATTATTTGAGATTTGTTTGTTAGTAATATCAGTTCAAACTAACTCAGCGGGTCTAAAAATTAAAAACCCAAACCAAAAGCTGAAAATCAAAAATATAAAATTAAAAACTAAAAATCAAAATTTAAAACAAAATCTTAAAAATAAAAACTGAAACTAAAAACTAATGAAAAATAATCATCACCACAAATTTTGGTGAACTGATTTTATACCAAAACATTCTTTAAAATAAGACAAAATCCAATTATATAAATTTTTAATCATAAAAAATTTTCGCGCTTGAAAAGCGAGGGTCAAAATCTAGTATGCATTTATACTCCTAAGGTTAACTAATTTAAAACTTAGGGCTTAGAGTTAAGGGGTTGGTTTAGGGGATCAATTCAAATTTAAAAAATAAAAAAATAAATTACAAATTTTCAAAATAAAAATAGCTTTTTTGTTTATTTTATTTTTTGAGGGCTATTTTGTGACAAAAACTTAAAAAATAACTATTTAAGAGAATCGCCCTAACTTTAAATATTTAATTTTAAATATTTTAGATAGTTTAAAGATATTTTCAGATTTTAGATTATACCAATTTTTTCTGGACAACACATCTAAAATAATTAAAATATTTATTATTTATTATGACAGTAGTGCTAATTGAAAGGTTTCGGTTTAGATAGGTTTAGTTTCGGTTATTTAGATATTAAAAGTTTGTATATATTGACTATTTTTCAGTTTTGATTTGGATTTGGTACAAAATCAGATTCATTTTTATCTGAACAAGGTGTTTTGCCTGTTCATGCGGACATAATCATGTTACAAATATTTATTATTACATTTCTTATTAAAATGTGAAAATTAATTTGTAAATGACATTATTAAAATTAAAAAAATATAATTTTTTATACATCTTCTTCTTATTTTTATGTTTAAAAATGTTTTCGGATAACAACCTTATCTTTTAAAAAAGAATATATAATTTTGATAATTTTATTTAATAACTTAGAAGGATCTTTAACTGAAATTTGTTTTTAATTTTAAATATTTAATAAATTCTAAATATATATAAATTCATTAAAAGTAATATTGATATTAACCTTTTTAACTTTTAATGTGAGAGCTCCACTGCAAAAAATCATTTATAATAGTATAGATACTTTACCAACATCTAGTAACGTAATCTATATAATAATAGTACACTTTTGAAGCTCCTCAGCATGTCCACGTCAGCAAGTTTTCGTACCCCACGCATGTTATTAGGGAAAACAAAAACGTATAACATTTTGTAAGATTGAATGTTATTGATGAGTGATGAAATGGCCCAGTGGTGTAAGTTGGTGACGAGAAGTTGGTACCGCGAGTGTGCGGATTCGAAACGCAGTGCTTGCATGTAATTTTTTTTTTTAATTTGGGCTTTTCGGGATACCTAAAAGCTTAGGGAGATTCATAATGATTTTTTATGCTGGTTGTTGGGATACAAAATGGCTTAAGGATTGGAAACTTTATGAGACCATCTTAGATACTATTATAAGAAAGGTTATCATGTTCTAACCTCCAATATTATTTCAATTCAGTTATAATCATCAAAAAAAATAAAAACATATTTTTCAATAATAAATATTTACCCCGAACCATTCAGATCGGCCATAAATCTCATATACATCACAATTAAAAAAAATATATATATATACAACATAATTTCAGAAAGAAAATTACACTAATAAACACATGTCCTTTTTTTGTCTTGTCTCCATTAAATCATTTTTTACATGCAAACACTAATAACAGTAATGCTCGATAAATTCACTAATAAAGGAAATGCTCGATAAAATCACTACGAAGATAGAAAATATCAACCCATATGAATTCGATGTTTATTCTTTTATCAGACTAATCAAGTTGTGTGACTTCTAATGTTTCATTCATAACCATTATAGATAAGTCAGATAAACAAATGTTAAAAAAAAAACAGCAAAGTCTCATACACAAAACTACACAACACATCAACAACGTATCCAACCCCCCCGGCATCTAGTAATATTAATCAGACTTACAAAATCTCAAAGGATGGGGAACACTACTCCCTTTTACTTTTTGAAAAGTACGTAACAAAATAAGCTTACTTTTTTGGAAACAGTACTGAACTTTTGACTTACGGTAACCAAAAGAAGAACAAATGGGAATGACCAGAAGTATCAATCTCTTCACTTCATAATAGCTCCTTCTCGAGTCTTAGTTTATTTACGAGGAAGTGATCTTCTTTGACTTCTAGATCTCTAAACTTCCAATCCAGGTACGAAATTATTCATTCTCTTACGGGATCCAAGAACTGGATTTTGATACGCATCCCACATCAGATAATGCTATCGAAGACTCTGTTTTCACACTTTTGTTGATAAATGGATCTTGTTATTGACGGTACGGATCAGGTTTAGATAATAGACACAGAGGATGTTTTAATACGAAACTGTTAATTTTTTTTCTTACATGTTTTGAATACTCTGTTGTCTGGTAATAAATCTTAATGTAGTAGTGAATTCGGATTAGTTTATATAATAGATTGTTTATGAAATAATGTGTTCATGTATTTTTTTCCTTAGAGATCATCACGTCATCATCAGTGATGCTAGACTGGTCTGTTCTACCGAAGGAGCTACTCCACTTCATCTTCCAGAATCTTGACAACTGTTTCGATGCTGTTCATGCTCGCTCTGTTTGCACCACGTGGCGATCGATGATTCCCTTTCCTTCTTACTTGTTACGCTCACGTTATACTCTCCCCACGTTTCCCCTGTTACTTCGCCAAAACAAAAGCTATTTCACTCTCGACAAGGTCCCTTTGTTTCTCTTTAGAGTCAAATCTCCTCCCGCTGCTGCGTCACCTTGTGAGTATTTCCTAGGAGGGATAAGCAGAGATGAGTCAGAGGATCTCGCATCTACGCTTCAGTGTTCAGTAAAAGTGAAAATCCTTGGAAATGATCCAGCCTTGTTGAACGTGGTTGACTGCCAGATCTTCCCTCTGGGCCATCAGTACAGAATGATAGGTAGGGATCTTGAAGACTTGAGGAGACAAAATTACAGAGGTTTGGCTTTTCTTCCGGTGAACATAAAAGGAGGAGAGTTCATTGTGCTTCTCAACTTAACTAAATTTTGTTTCTGTTAAGAAGTGGTAACAATAACATGAGGTGGGTAAAGCTTAAGAAATTCTCAGATGCTTCATACGAGGATATAGTTAATTTTAGAGGCAGGTTTTATGTAACCACTCTGAATAAGGATGTTTTCGTTATCGATCCTTATTCGCTAGACGAGATTCCCTTGATGCCTTTGCAGCCACTTCGCTCGGTAAAGTATCTGGTTCCATCTGGAAATGATGATGAACTTTTCCTGGTTGAGAAAATCCTCCCTTCTAGGGGTGTGTTGGATTTTAGTCGGTTGGCATGTAGAGTGAGTAAGCTAAATGATGAGGCTGGTACATGGGTTGAGGTCAGCGATGTAGGAGGTCGTGTGTTGTTTATTGGATATCTTGGAAACGTCTCATGCTGTGCTAAGGAGCTTCCTGATGGTTGTGGTCTGAGTGGGGACTCATTGTTGTTCACCGGTGGGCCAGGAAATGTAACTTATTTTTATAAATATTGAGTAAACACAGGACGTGAGGAAGACGGCCTCAACTTTTGGAGATTCTCAGGAGAGAACCGTGTGACGATCATCAACAAATCTGTGGTGTCTCTCCAGGTTGAGCGCTAAGCTCTGTAGAATATTACTTTTGGATACATTAGTCATCTGTTGAAGTTTCCTTATGGTTTTGCTTAAAAGATTTTTGTGATCTCTGATGTTGTGGTCAAAGCTAGACCACTCGATCGGGTTTTCTAGTTTTAATGTATGATACATAGCCCAAGATGGAAAGGAGTGTAGCAGAAGCATACAGCCACCTTTCTCCTCTTTGTCGGTTGACTTGTGCATGATACATTAATTCTTAGCTGACGACATGGCACTTTTGTTAAGTAAATTTACCAAATATTCTGATACACTAATTCACCCAAACATTTTATGTGAATATGATAAATATATTTACATCAGGATCAAATAATAAATTACAATGTTTTAAGGAAATTGCATTCCTCTTTGTCCTCTTGCTCCTCTTTGTCGGTTGACTTGTGCATGATACATTAATTCTTAGCTGATGACATGGCACTTTTGTTAAGTAAATTTACCAAATATTCCGATACACTAATTCACCCAAACATTTTATGTGAATATGATAAATATATTTACATCAGGATCAAATAATAAATTACAATGTTATAAGGAAATTGCATTCAACAACATCAACGTACGAATGCAAAATAAGGCATGCAACATATGTAATAATAATAGCGATCTTCTGAGCTGTTATACAGTTATATGTTTGTAACTTGAGTGTAATCTTGATCAGAAGGTAAATGGTTTATATTACGAGGACGAGGAATGCACTTAAGGGGCTTAGCCAAAGCCATAAAGAATCTTAACCCCGAAGCTTCTTCCATGTTGATTTTATCTCCTTCGATATCCCAGTCAAAGCACTGCACCATCACTCCAACCGCAGTTCCCACAAAAGTACTACCTAGATTTGATCCAGGACATCCTCTCCTTCCGGCGCCAAAAGCGAGGAACTTCAATGCTTGCTCTTTCCTCTCATCATCTTTCATTGAGCTTGAACAATTTAGAAACCTCTCTGGCTTAAACTCATAAGGATCTTCCCAAGTATCAGGATCTCTCATGATAGCATAAGAATTGACAGCAAGTGATGTGCCTTCAGGTATGTAGAACCCTCCTATCGTACAGCCTTCTTGAAACTCCCTTGGCACAACAGCTCCCACTGGGTGCAATCTTAGAGCTTCCTTGACCACAGCTTGCAAGTAAGGAAGCTTTGGTAGGTCAGTTTCTTGAACTAACTTATTTGTTCCCACCACGGAGTCAATTTCTTCTCTTAGTCTCTCAAGAATCTTAGGGTTGTTGATGATCTCTGCCATTGCCCACCGTGTTGTTGAAGAAGAGGAGTCGCCTGCTCCAACGAAAAGTTCCTGCAATAGCATATTGTTAATTTAGTATTCCTTCCATTTTTAATACATGACGCTTTTGAAGATATTTTTGTTTTGAATTAGATGATGTTATAGTGCAAAATTTATTAAACTTTAAGTTTATAAGACCATTTGTATTCTGCAGTATATTTTAATTGGTCGAATTGTGTTTAGCTAAATAATTATCATATTTTTGTTTAGAAAATATAAAAAAAAAAAATTGGACAAAAATATTTTTTTAATCTCTGTGCATAATCATAAAATATCTTATAAAAAAACAGAGGAAGTATATGTTGTTTGTTTTGGATTCTCAATGAAAACTTTACCGCAAATAATGCCTTGATTTGCTTTCTAGTCATCTTATACTCTGCGTTTTGGTCGTGATAAGATTCCAACAATGCATCCATAAACTCAGCACCTTGATGGTTTTCCCCTTTCTCTTCGTACTTCGCGAGAATCTTTTCAAGATGCGCCTCAAATCTGTGTGAAACCTCCATTACATCCTTCTTCAAGTATGAGATCCCTAGCTTCTCAAGAGGCTTATGAAACACTTGCGCCACGCAAAACTTGTGGCACAAGGAAGTGAACGCGTTTGATAGTTCAGAGACTTTCCCACCGTCATTGTTTTCCACCGAGAAACTACTTCCCATACTCATCTTCCCAAGAGTGTTGTTAACGAGTCTCATCGCTTCCTCGCCAATCTCCACGCTCTCTTTCTTCATGGCCTTATCGAGGAGATTCCTGTGGAACCTCTCTAGCTCAATTAGACGGACGCCACGTGTTCTCTCTAGCGCCTGGGGCCCGAGGGCCTTAGCCAAGATGACCTTCTTCATGAACTTCCAGTAATCTCCAGAGGGAGCTCTGATGTAGCCAGAAGAGCCAAAGACAATGCATTCATCGATAGCGATTGGACCACGATAGGAGACGTTCATGTCGTGAGACTTGAAGATCTCGTAGGCCACTGTGGGAGAGGAGACGAGAACGATGGGGACGTGGAAGATGCGGAGATGGAGGAATTGTCCGTACTTGGTTGAGATTTTCTGAAAACACTTGTGCATGGAAGAAGAGATGATGAGGTGAAGATGACCAATGATGGGAAGAGAAGGAGGGCTTGGAGGCAGATCAAAGCTATTATTTGGTTCCTTGAAGAAAAAGAAGAAGTAAAAGAGAAAGAGGGTTGGGAAGAGGAAGAGGAGTGTAAAGATGAAACAGTTTTGAATATCAAAGCTGGCCATTGCTGTCATTGTTGCTCAAAACGAATGAGGAGGGAAAGGCCTTAACACGATTTATATAAGAAGTCGAAATATCTGAAAGTGTATAATAGAGGATATAGATGACAAAAGATATCTTTGTAATGTTCAGTTACCAAAAAAAGATAGCTTTGTAATGTTATTTAAAGAGTTAGGTTTCTTATGGATCGTGCGTATGTTAATTTTTACAACTCTCAATTGCATACATACCTCAGTTCGTTAGTTTGGTTTGCTTGGAACTTTAAACCAATCAACACTTCAGTTTTTTCTTTTAAATAGTATACCATACATACATCAAATATACATAACTTTAGAAATACATATATTTAAAAAATTTAGATTAAAAACATACATAAATGATATTAACAAAGTTAATCAGATTTTTTAATCAGAATTTTAACATTATTAGAATGTGAAGCATTTTTTGTTTAATCCATAAGAGCCTGTGTAATCTAATATACCTCAAAATGGAAAACAAAACATATCTAAATTGTTATACTCAAATCACATGTTTAATTAGATAACAGAAAACTATTTAAACAATTCTTCTTATATATTACTATACATAAATTATAAAAATATTTAAAATTTATAAATAAAAATAAAAAGTAAATAATTAATATAATTTATATATTTTATAATTTTTATAAATTTTCATATTTATGCATGAGCTTTCAAAATATTATTTGATATGTTTGTTAACGCAGCTCTAAATAGATCAACACTGTTTCTCAATATTTTTCAAGGCAGCTTATTTAAATTATATATAATTTGCTAGAAATATATTTATAATTATAAAACAAATAGCCAAACTAAATTCAGTTAATAGAATTAATCTGATTTTACTATAATTAAAAATAAAATTGTGCTTTAATTTGGAAGAATGGATGTAACCTAATAAATCCAAAAATAAACAATTGGACTATTTCAATTATTATACCTGAAATTATATTTTTATAATAAAAATAACAAATAAAACAATAATATTTTCATATGTATAAACTATTAAATGATTTTAAATTATAAAAAATATTAGGTTTTTCTACTAAGAAGAAATATTAGTTAATTTTTATAATTTAGTTGCTTTATAAATACTTCTATGTATAGGGACACGGAAAAAATCACCTGGTGAAAGTATATATCAAAAGTTGATTGTCTACAATACTCATGACAAATTAGTAGTTCTAGAATGAAATTTTGATGAAATTATAAGAAGAAACCAAACAGAAAATGAAAAATATTTACTTGATTGAATATTAGTTAATCTAAATATTAGTATGTGGAGTATATAACAATAATTTGCTAGTGTGTGTCAATTAATTATCAAAAATCTATCGGATGATAAAAGCTTGATTCATGCTAATCTTTTAAGATATGACTTCGTTTATATCGGATTGTTGTAGTAAAAACTTTGTCCATTATAAATGATACATACAACTATCAAGTTCGTTAGTGTGTGTGTTTTTTTTTCAAGTTATGAGAAATATGAAGAGAGGAATGGATGGATTCGATCTATCTCCAGACTTTCACTCATCTATCACTAGGAATATCATTCAAAAGGTATGTTGATTGAAGTAGTGCTTTCTCAACCAACACATGTTAGAAGATACGTTTTCTAACGAACATATACGTTTTCTAACTAACATAGACGTAGGGGAAAGTATATCATGTTTATTGCGAGTTTATTATATAACTAAATGTTGCTCAAAAAATTATATAACTAAATTAAATAATATTAATAAATATCAAATCACTAAAATAGCTATTCAAAACAGTAAACAGTTAGAGAGTGTATTTCCGTGACCATGGTTATTAGCTAAAAAATTGTGACGATAGCAACAAAAAAAATTATAACCAAATCTATGATACAAAAATATTATTATAACAAAAATTCTTATTTTGGACATTCAAAGTATTACACAAAAAAATTAGCCGAACACACATCAAAGTTAAATGGCTACTACATTAGTTATGTACTAAAATATTTATGTTCAATCCCCATTCATGGTAAAGATTCTAAAACAAAACCACTATGCTATATCATGATATTTATAGTCCGTTCCAACCGATGGAATGGGATCAACTGATTATCTTATTTGTATCCGATAATTTTTTTTTCGAAGAAATACCCCATCTATATATTGCTCTATATATATTTGTGTTTGTGTGTTATTTTTCTATATACATTTTTTGAATACGAGGAAGCGATATAATGCGTGTACGTTTAGACATGATTTTGCCGGAAACATGAAGAAGTGTTATGATTCATGTAAAAAGGGCATAATACATGTGTGGGTCAATCTCGTTGTCAAGCGAACCATCATTGCCCACTACACACTCAACTCAAACCGTTTTGATTCTTCCTTCTCACACTTTTAACGTCGTTTCCAGTTATAATTACTACTTATTGTATTTGCTTTTTATGATCAATGTGTGTAGTTACTCTTAACGTCTACTTCAAACTGGCTTAGACAACCCACGCTTTCTCTACGTGAGTTCATGACCAATTACAATCAAATATGATTTAGTGCATTGAGTTCACAATATGTATTGCTTATATATATTTGAGGCTCTAGGAGAAAAACTAAGGTATATGTGCAATTGTCCAATTCTTTACGTTAAAGACTATTAAAATCCATTTACAAGAATGATACAAAGCATTTTAATATCTAATTCCATGGTAGAATTTTTAAAGTAATCCATTTAGGACAGCTTTTATTCGTTCCGTTTAGGTGTAGTTTTATCATTTTTAATAACAAATGTTGTTTTACATTTCTAATGCAAAAGGAGGATTTTAGTTGTTGAAGTTTCGAAACTGGAAAAAAACTCATATTCTTTGAAAAATTATGGCCATGTTCGTTGCTTGAACACAGCGTCAGAAGTCAGCGACAAAGTAGAATAAGCATGAGAAAAATGTTTTTGATGCAGTGTTTTGTTATACGGTTACCACCGATGACTATTGGTAGTGGTGTTTTCACCATTTTTGTTGTCTCTGTAATTTTAAGCAACTCCTAAACATGTATTATATGTGGTTAGCCGCAGACTTATGCATTCTTAAACTCATAATTTTAATCAATTGCTTATTTCTTTTTATTTAAAAAAAGTTAAACCTGTATCTATTGAAGAATATACATGTTTAATCTTCGGATGGAGTTACAATTCATGGATAAACTCTTTCCTAGACATTCAAATAGGTTGAAGGAATAGTCTATATTCACGTGGCCATATATGGAACTAATAATTTCGCACGTGAGAGGAATCAATCGCGTGCCTGGACCAACAGGATAATTCCTCTTGTAATGAAAACCACTAAACCACCACGATATGTGATTAATCAATTCTGATTTATTACTTTAATTTGTATATTTTCAATCATACATTAACACTATGTTCAACCAACAAAGATAAATTGTTTAAAATATTAGCTACTATTTTTCAAAAAATACATTTAATCCAAAATACCATAACATTATGGCACAATTTACGGATGGACTTTTTCCTAAACATTTAAATAGATTGAAAGAAATAACTCATATTCATGTAGCCACATGTAAAACTAATAATTTCGCATGCGAGGAGAATCGATTCTTAACTTAGACCAACATGATAATTCATCTTGTAGTGGAAACCACGATATATATATGATTAACCAATTGCTGATTTGTACTTTAATTTTTATATTTTCAATCGTATATTAACACTGCGTTCAAACAACAAAGATAATTTTTTAAAAATATTAGCTATTATTTTTCAAAAATACATTTAGTCAAAAATACCATAACATTTGAATTTAGGATTTATAAACTTCTATATTTGTTATAAATTATGTTTAAACATTTATAAATGATTTCGACGAGTTAATTTAATTTTTTATCACAAATTTAAGATATTTAAAAAAAGAATTATTTTTAAAATTAAAATTTTAAAGTGATATTGAACTTCTAGTAAAAATTGCAATTTTCCGCGATAGGTATAGAGATCACAGTTTGCTAAGAAAAAAAAAGGTATAGGAGACAAAGATGATTTTGTTGAATATTCTTAACAGAGCACAAAATGAACACTATAATCATAAAAGGTTAAATTGATATCAAATTTATGGTAAGATTACAATTTTTTGTAGGAAAAAAAATCTCAGGCTGCTAAGAAAAAAAATGTAGGAGAAAAAGCAACCGACAATCTAAAAAGATAAAGAAAACATACTTTGTACACACCTTTAATGGCATGACATGTTAAACCATCAATGGAGATAGATTTTACAATAAGTGCTAGAGAGATCTTTTGAAGAAAAAGAAGAATAAAGAAGTTTATATCTAAATAAGAAAGTGTTTTTCTTTTGATATAGAAAAACATTCAAGATGATACAAACTTTAATAATTGCGTGTTATCCATTTTAGTCGTATTAAGATGTTGGAAATGTTTACGGAGCGGTTTAGAACATTTAGCATATCTTCAATTATAACATTTGTACTGATAATATTTCGTTTTAAGGAAAAACATCAAAAAAATGAGGGAAATCTTCTTTATGGATACATCATTTTTAGAAAAATACTTTTAAATTTTATTTTAATGTTAATTTAATTTATTTATTAATTAGTCGCCAAAGTTTTGTAGAATTTTGTTTTGCATCTAAAAAGATTCATTAATGTGTTTAATAATTTTTCAAATTATCATTATTTTCATAATGCAAATATAAGTTTATGTAAATTATATTTATTTTTTAACAAACTAAACTCATGTATAAAATTATAAATAAAATAAATTATTTTCAGATAAAATTTGTAAGTTTTATAACAAACAATGCTAAAATAATAAAATTTAATAATAAAATATTTAAATTATTATATTGAGAAAGATGAAGAAAAAATTAAAATAATACACAAACTCAATTTGATAGAAAAGTGACATTAACTATTAGAGATACTATTTAAAAAGTATGAATACACGGTTATCTTTTTCTATATAAGTCACAATCAGTTGAGAGTAACGAATTTATC